CCTTCTGTCCTATTCAGGCCTTCAGTGAATTGAATGAGGCCCACCCACATTGGGGAGGGCACTCCACTTTACTCAGTCTTCCGATTCAAATGCTAATCTCATCCAGAAGCACCCTCACAGACACACCCAGAAATAATGTTTAACCTAATATCTGGGCACCCAGTCAAGTTGACACATAAAATTAACCATCCCAGTATTGTATTGGTTTTCTCATCCTGTTTCTTACTTTTACTCAGAATAACGTTTTTAAGATCAATAGTTGTGGTAGGCAGAATGCTAAGATGGCCCCCACAATCTTTGCCCCTGGTACATGATGACGTTATGTTACATGGCAAAGCAATATTGTGGATATAATTATAGTTACTAATCAGTTGACATTAAGATAAGAAGATGATCCCAGCAGGCCTAACCTCATCACCTGAGCCCTTTAAAAGCAGCTGTCTCTGGCTTCTTGCAAAAGAGGAAGTCAGAGAAAACCCAAGCATGAAAACGATTCAACGCACCGTGACTGGTTTAAGGATGAAAGCAGCCATGTGATGAGGAGTGGGGTGACCTCTAGGGGTTAAGAGCAGCCCCTGGCTGACAGCCAGCAAGAAAACAGCAACCTCAGTCCTACAACTGCAAGAAACTGAGTTCTGCCAACAACCTGATTTGGTGGATTCTCTCCCAGAGCTTCTAGATAAGAACCCAGTCCCACTGACACTTTGTTTTTTTTCTTTTTTTGCGGTACGCGGGCCTCTCACTGTTGCAGCCTCTCCCCGTTGCGGAGAACAGGCTCAGCAGCCATGGCTCACAGGCCCAGCCGCTCTGCAGCATGTGGGATCTTCCCGAACCGGGGCACGAACACGTATCGCCTGCATCGGCAGGCGGACTCTCAGCCACTGCGCCACCAGGGAAGCCACCACTGACACTTTGATTTCAGCCTTGTGAGACCCTGAGCAGAGAACTCAGTCACACAATGCCTGAATTTTTAACCTACAGAACTACAAGATAATAAATGGGTGCTGTTTTAAGAAACTAAATTTGTGGTAATTTATTACACAGCAATAGAAAATGAATACAGTAATGTTGCTGTACATTTTATTTATTTAAAAAACACATGCAGTAGTGTTTTTTGCTTCACATGAGGCAAGAGTCCAAGAACTTTACAAGTATTAATTCCTTTAATTGTCATAACTCAGAGATACCGGTTTTATTATTTTTTCCCATTTTACAGAAGAAGAAACTAAGAAACAGAGAAGTTAGGTTACTTGCCAAATGGCAGTTGCAAAACCAACAGTCAAACCTAGGTGATCTGGTGTGGGATCATTGTTCAAACCCCGCATCTGGTTCTTTGCTTCTAGCTGCTGCATAATATTTCATACTGTGCATCTCCCACACTTAACTCTTAATTTTCTAGGGATGGATTTCTCATGGCCCTGCACGAGAAGCTCACCAAAGACAATCCCACAAGGAGTTTCATAGGTCCTAGGGTACACATGTAATGTGACTAAGTACTTCTGCATGGTCCTCTAGAATAACCCATTTGTCCACACCACCAGCAGCCCATCAGGGCCGCCATATGTCTGCCATGGGCATTTTCCAGCTTTGCAATTCCAGCCAATCTGATGAAAAGTGATATTTCAAATGGGTGGAAGATCTAAATAGACATCTCTCCAAAGAAGACATACAGATGGCCAAAAAGCACATGAAGAGATGCTCAACATCACTAATTATCAGAGAAATGCAAATCAAAACTACAATGAGGTATCACCTCACACCGGTCATAATGGCCATCATCAAAATATCTACAAACAATAAATGCTGGAGAGTGTGTGGAGAAAAGGGAACCCTCCTACACTGTTGCTGGAAATGTAAATTGGTACAGCCACTATAGAGAAGAGTATGGAGATTCCTTAAAAAACTAAAAATAGAACTACCATATAATCCAACAATCCCACTCCTGGGCATATATCCAAAGAAAACCATAATTTGAAAAGATACATGCACCCCAATGTTCATTGCAGCACTATTTACAATAGCCAAGACATGGAAGCAACCTAAATGTCCATTGACAGAGGAATGGATAAAGAAGATGTGGTAGATATATACTGTGGAATATTACTCAGCCATAAAAAAGAATGAAATAATGCCATTTGCAGCAACATGGATGGACCTAGAGATTGTCATACTGAGTGAAGGTAAGTCAGACAGAGAAAGACAAATATTATATGATATCGCTTATATATGGAAACTAAGAAAATAGTACAGGGACTTCCCTGGTGACGCAGTGGCTAGGACTCCATGCTCCCAATGCAGGGGGCCTGGGTTCGATCCCTGGCCAGGGAACTAGATCCCATATGCATAATGCAACTAAGAGTTCGCATGCCACAACTAAGGAACACACACGCAGCAACTAAGACCCGGCACAACCAAGTAAATAAATAAATATTTTAAAAATAATAAGGGCTTCCCTGGTGGCGCAGTGGTTGAGAGTCCGCCTGCCGATGTAGGGGATACAGGTTCGTGCCCCGGTCCAGGAAGATCCCACATGCCGCAGAGCGGCTAGGCCCATGAGCCATGGACACTGAGCCTGGGCATCTGGAGCCTGTTGCTCCGCAACGGGAGAAGCCACAACAGTGAGAGACCCGCGTACCGCAAAAAAATAAATAAAAAAAAAAATAATAAAATTTTTTAAATTAAAAAATGGTACAGATGAACTTATTCACAAAACAGAAATAGAGTCATAGATGTAAAAAACAAACTTATGGTCACCAGAGGGGAAAGGGAGGGGAGGGATAAATTGGGAGACTGGGATTGACATATACAGACTACTATGTACAGATAACTAATAAGAACCGACTGTATAGCACAGGGAACCCTACTCACTACTCTATAATGGCCTATATGGGAAAAGAATCTAAGAAAGAGTGGATATATGTATATATATAACTGATTCACTTTGCTGTACATCTGAAACACATTGTAAATCAACTATACTCCAATAAAAATTATTTTTTAAATATAAATAATTAAAAATTGAAATTAAAAAAGCGAGAGAACTGAATTTCAAGGAAATTAAAAGAATTTCCTGAGCTCTTAGAGATATTTTTAAATTAATTAATTAAAATTATTTAATCAATGTAAAAAAGTGATATTTCATTGCTTTTTTTTTTTGCTGTACGCAGGCCTCTCACTGTTGTGGCCTCTCCTGTTGCGGCCTCTCCTGTTGCAGAGCACAGGCTCCAGACGCACAGGCTCAGCGGCCATGGCTCACGGGCCTAGCCGCTCCGCGGCATGTGGGATCCTCCCAGACCGGGGCACAAACCCATGTCCCCTAGCATTGGCAGGTGGACTCTCAACCACTGCGCCACCAGGGAAGCCCTTCATTGCTTATTTTAAAGGAGAATTTCTCTGTCTCTGTCTCTCTCTCTCTCTCAATATTATTTTTTATTGTGGTAAATATGTATGACAAAAATTTTGCCATTTTTCAGTTGATTAATTCATTAGCATTAATTACATCCATAGTGGTGTGCAACCATAATTATGTATTTCAAAAACTTTTCATCACCGCAAACATTATTGCTTTTCGATTTGCATTTCGCTTTGAGCATCTCTTCATATGCTTTCAGTACATTTATATTTGATTCTGCCTTATTCACCATAAGAAAACAAATTAAACTAACAAAGGAAAAGAAGCTCTAAACCCTAACATGGCACTTTGCCTCAGAGTCAGACAGCCTTGAATTTGAACACCAGTTCTTGCCTTTCCAGCTGGCTGACCCTGGGAAAGTCACTTAATCTCTTTGAGCCTCAGTTCTCTTATCTGTAGTACGGAAGTAATAGTACTGACCCCTCTAGGTTTTTCTAAGTATTAAATGAGTTGATATATGTAGAAGGCTTATCACCATTCCCAGCATAAGTATTTCATAAATGGCAATTAGCATTATTATTAACATTAAGAGTAATATTATTAATTATGTTTGGGCTGCCATTTCATCCAAACCTTCCCAGACTCAAAGGGTGGGACAGGCCATCCTCCATGTGGCAGTATCATCCTTACCACCAGTGGACCTAGGCTCAGGATTTTGTGGAGGAAGAAACAGGATTGAGAAATTATTTAAATGCAGAACCAAGTGGAGGGGAAAAGCTTCAAACCATAATCTTAAATAAGGAGCAATCCCCAGACTGCTATGCTAGTAAGGAAGATTTTCCTCCTCAGACTGGGCTGTGTGAGTGCACAGTCCCCAGCAGGCAGTGGATGGACTCCGTGCTCCCTCCCACCCTGCTGAAGAGAAGGAGCTGTCATACTGATAAACATTTGAATCTCAAGGAGTGCCAGATGTACTTTTTTATGGTCTGTTTTTAAGATGCTGTGATATGCTAATGTATGTTTTGGGTCTGAATCCCTTCAATTTAATTGATGACACTAATATGTAAGTAAATAAAATCCGGTAGGTTTCACTTATGTGAGCTATCCATCATTTGTTGTTTTGAAACATGAGTCTGTTTTTACTTCCCACTGTCATTATCTTGTGTCCTCTTCCCAGCAGCATAGACTACAGTCATTTCATTAAACTTGCCAAAATGTAGAAAGGACCGAAGCAAATTAAACCAAAAAATAGCTTTAACATGTAGGAAAATTATTTTTACTCCAAAAATGAGAGTCCAGTAGAATCAGCTCAGTAATGTTTGCACAGTTTTCTTTCTTTATGCAGTTTAATCCAGCTGTTCGCTAACATTTGAAAAAGAAAGAGAAAATTTAATTGCCCTGCTTAAGTCAATTTTAAAGTATACTTAAAATTTTCCGTTTCATCTAGGTGCTTCTCTGCTACTTTTTAGAATTTCTAATTGTAGAATTTGCTTGCTGAAAAGGTGTGTTTTGGGATAGAAAAGAATATTTAGAAATCCTTAACTGCCGCCCCCCACCAAAAAAAAAAAAAAGTGGGCGTGGAAATTTGAAAGAGTACCGCCTAATTCAGCACTAAAACCAGTGTGTGTGTATGAGTGTGTGTGTGTGTGTGCATGTGTGTGTGTGGTATAAAATGTGCTTTTCAAAGTGCTGAGAGGTTGATGGGAATGTTTGATTAGCTCCTCTCAGAAGAGAAAAGGTGCTTGGACCTCTTCTTATTTCTTCTTTAGAATAATTTGGATGGGATCTGTGATGCAGAAAAGCTTAAAGAAAAAAGGATATCCATTCTCTGTGGTGGAAAAATTTTGAAAAAAAAATTCCTTTCTTCAAACAAGGTATGTCTGATGAATTGCTAAGCTATGTAGATAGTTTGATTTCCATTCCTTGTTATGAAAACATGAAAAGGTTATTTACCATTAAGAAACTAGAATACATCCCTTGACCAAGTAATCAGTCTGTACAAATTTCAGTTTCAGGAGAAGTGAGATGGGAGTGGGTGGTAGTTGACATCCTTGAAAACAACTAATATACATATATCAACTATAAATAAATTGTGCTGAGATGAGATTAGAATAAGACTTTCACTGTATCTTTTAAACCAACTTAATTATGGTTAAAATAAGTTGAAAAGTATAATGCTTGTGCAGAGCTTAATTTAAAGGACGTTTAAGTCTTGCCCTTTTTTATACTTTACTTCCTACGTGGAATACAGTAGCAACAGAATGAATTACTTATAACAATGTATGAGGAAAGGATATGGGCATGTTAATGCTAAATTAAAAGAGAAATTATTTAATGTAGATCTATACTTCTCTCTATTCAGACAGATCTCGGAGGAATGTGGCTAGATGTGCAATTCTGTATCTTGTTTACACTGGAAGTGTTTTCTTAGGTTGAATGCTTCTTAAACTGATAAGCCCAAGAAAGGGCTGGCATTGTTAAGTCACTACTGTAGCCCAACTTTGCACAGGGAAACAGGATACGAAATCTCTTTTAAGAATGATTTGTGTTAAACCAGTATAAACATGAAATAAATGCCTCAAGCTCAGGTTAAACAGAGGGGATAAGATTGAATAATTAGACTGGATGGTTTGCTCTGAACAACCTACCGCATCTTTGCCATCCCCAAATGGGGAGGGGAATTCAAGATTTTCTTTGGGTTTATTGTAAATATAAAACCAGGCATTCTTGGCCATGGTGGTTATTCAAAAATGTGAGCACTAAGAAAATAGCATTTTGCCATTACGTTGTGTTGCAATAAATTTGGAAGTTTTCGTGGTAAGTTCTGAGGTTGTTTTTTCCTTTGGTCTCTTCAAAGATGAAAATAGCCTGCAGCAAGGCAAGATCAAATACTATTTGTTTGTGTATTTTCTCTGCTGTGTGTGTGAACTGCAAGCTATGCCGCCCATAGGAGTTGGAAGTGCCTCTCTCTTTTTTTCTTTTTCCTGTCTTTTATTTATTGAATTAAAATACCCTCTTTTGTAAAAGGCTTTAGACAAAGAATTGCAAGACTACAAGGGCTGCATTTTTAATTGCAATATGCTGGTTTCCCAGACTAAGCTTCATTTAAATATATCTTACACCTCACCACTGAAAGGAAATACGTTAGGAACTTTGGAAATGCTTAATATCTATTCTGACATAGCATTTACTTTATGAATAGCGTTCAGAAGATCTAATTATCTTTTTTGCCAAGTTGCTGATCACATGAAGAATAGTTTCTTTCAGAGAAAATGCACTGGGTTTGAGAATGGTTTATGAATAGCATCAGGAGAACAAAAATGCTTGCGCTGTTCCCATCTGTAATTCCTGTAAGACATACTGTAGACAGGAAAGCAGTGCAGTTCAGTGTCATGTCCCAAGCCAGGAACCCTAAATTTCAGTCACAGCTCTGCCACTACCTAGTTGTGTTACCTTGGAAAAGTTGTGTACCAGTTTTTGACTTTTGTTTCCCCATCTGAAAAACAGAAATAGCAATGCCTGCATTCACCCCCTCCCAGGACGGTCATGAGGTACAATATCGATTCTCAGTTTTAAAAGGGTTTTGAAATGTGAAAAGTTCTAAAAAAATTGAATCATTTTTCCCACATATTCAAAAAAAAAAGACCGCATGGGAAGGAATCATTGGTTGTAAAATAAATGTTTCGTGGCCTCCAGGATGTTCCCATGACATATGCCCACGTGTGCGACTTGTCCTCTTCTTGCTAGTTTGGAGGCATGAGCCAGGTATCAAAAGCAGTGGGTGCAGAGAACACTGCTCTGTCACTGGGAGGGCTTTCTAGCTGTGTGACCTTGGGGAGGTTACTCAATATTCTCTGTGTCTCCATTTCCTCACAAGTGAAATGAAGAAGTTGGACAAAATAGTCTCTAAGTCTCCCTCCTAATCCTATGGTTCTATGCACCGGAACATCTTCAGTGTTAAGACACGGCCAGGCCAATTTCACTATTGAGACTCTCCATATACTACAAAATCAAAACAGGGCTATGGAACCTATGGTATATTTAAAATGTTTATGTTTACCTAACTAAAGACTTTAACATACACAAAAATGAAAAGTAACATAATTTTATGTGAATGAAATATAATTATGTGTGTATACATATATATGTGTGCATGTACATTTACATATATCTATCCATAATGTACTGAGGACAGTTTGGTTCAAGTTGTATGACAGACTTCTTTTAGTTCTCTGGTATATTTCCATGACAGTATAACCTCATGTCAAATATCTAAATTTAAGGCAAGGTCAAGTGGCCCTCCTATGCTATGGATCCTACGGGGGCTTGTCAGGCAGGAGGCTCTGTCACTTCTTAGATGTGTTAACTTTGGCAAATTTTGTAAACCCTCTGGGCCTCAGTTTTCTCATCTGTAAAAAGGGTCTATTATTAGTGGTTACCTTATAGAGTTGTGGCAAAAAGCTTCAACTTGTACCTGGTACAACTGTCAGTACCCAAATGTTAGCAAGTAATTTTTTAACGTATGGGATTGGAATGAAGAACTCAGATCAGCTGTGAAACAGATCATTTGCAATCTTCTTCAAACTTTTAAACATTAACTCTTTGGATGTAGTAAACAAATAGATATGTGGAACTATGTGATATTAATATAATTATTAGAAATTTGTTGCCATCTCTTCATCCAGAGGATCTGAACTAATCAATATTTCAGCAAATATTAAAGCAAGAGAGGCATCTTCTGTGATGTCTGTATTTTGAGAAACCTAAAGGTTCCCCTCTGGCTGCCTGAACATGCGTCTCCCTGTGGTTTGCAGAAGGTGGTGAAATTCCTTGCACCCTGAACACACATACAGTGAGAGACAGAAGTGCAAAGGGAGTTTGCTAGTTTTCACAGACATGAAAGTTCCCTGCGCAAGCAGCAGTGAGCAGCTTCTGCTAGTGCAGAGAACGGGGCGAGAAAGAAGCGACAGACCAGGGCCAATCTAGGCTGTAACAGAAATGGCTTTCTGATAGTGCCGGTTCTTAAATTTTCATTAAGGCCCAGGAGTGCACACAGATAGCCAGGGTCTGACTCCTACACTGGCCTGCACCACTGGGCTTCCCTGCAACTAGCCTCTCCAGCTGCACACCTGCACCCCAACTCCCCTCGCCAGACTCCACTGCCGTGCACAGCCCAAGATGAGACCCTGCAGTGACAGGAGTGCCCGCTGACAGCCAGGGGCCCCACAGCTGCTAATGTGCCCTAAGGTGGCCCCAGTCCTTGCTGCTGACCCTGGCCCTCGCCCCTACATGTGTGTCTGCAACTGGCCCTGCCACTGGATACGCACCTGCAGTTGGTCCCGCAGCCCAGTGCATGCACACCCCCAGCTCCGGCCACCAGTGCTGCCTGCCCTGGTCCCTAGCCACTGGAGGCGCCACTGAGGACCCCAACAGCCCTTGCAGCCACTATGGATCCCCCGCTGCGCTCACCAGGGAGCACAATGCTGCTGACGCTGTGGCCTGAGCTGTCAAGCTATCACATCCCCTTGGACCTGGAGGCAATACAAGCCCCATACGTGGGGCCCTGGCCCACTCGGCCCGGGCCACAGTACGCTGCAGTGTGCCCCCTCCCACAGGCAAAGGTCTCTCCTTACAGAAGTCAGTCCATGAAGTCTGAAAGAGGTGACTGCTCCTTCAAATGCACTGACATCCACACAAGGCTACAGGCATCATGAAGAATCAGAGATAATAATAAATAAATAAATAAATAAATAATAGATAAATAAATAAAATAAATAAAAAATTTTTAAATGTGGTCATAGGGTAGTTTTTTAAAAAAAAGAACCAAATGGAAATTTTAAATAAAAATATACACACACAATTTTTTAAAATAAATTTATTTATGTATTTGTTTATTTATTTTTGGCTGTGTTGGGTCTTCACTGCTGTGCGCAGGCTTTCTCTAGTTGCGGCGAGCAGGGGCTACTCTTTGCTGCAGTGAGCGGGCTTCTCATTGCAGTGGCTTGTCTTTGTTCAGGAGCACGGGCTCTAGGCGCCCAGCCTTCAGTAGTTGTAGCACACGGGCTCAGTAGTTGTGGCTCGCGGGCTCTAGAGCACAGGCTCAGTAGTTGTGGTGCATGGGCTTAGTTGCTCCGCGGCATGTGGGATCTTCCCGGAGTAGGGCTCAAACCCGTGTCCCCTGCATTGGCAGGCGGATTCTTAACCACTGGGCCACCAGGGAAGCCCACACAAACAAACTTAAGTCAGTCTGAGATCATCTAGGTGAATTCCTGTTTACAGGCCAGGAGGTGAAGGGCCAAAATTGCATTCACAATAGAGCAAAGACTCTTTCAGTTTTGTTGATTGCATTTTCCTATGGTTACCACGAAACAAACAGTTGTGGATACTGGATTCAGAGTTTGTTTTTAACCAACTAGCAAACTTTTCCACTCCAACAGACTGCAAACCTTAAAGAAATCCTGAGAGACCGCCTATTGGAAATGCTCGGGGCTGCCTGGGAAGTGCAGGGAGCAGGCACCAGCCGACGCTCTGAGTTGAGACCCATAAAGTCTGCACATCGTGTGGCAACCTGCGAAAGGCAAATCTCTCACACGGCAGCTGTGACTGGAATCCACTGCCGCATTCCTCTAGTGCTTGTACCCTGAGGGAGAAAGGTGAACTCAGATGACAGAGGCCAGAATCCTTCCTGAGTCAAATTCACAGGCCAGGGTCTTGAAACAAAACAAAACAAAAATTCATTTGGTTTAGATTCAGCTTAGAGAATATTTTGTCGTTTGTGTTTGATTCTGGTCTTATAATTAAAAACAAATATTTAGGCCCATTTCTGCTTCCTTATCGCTTTGCAAGATGCTTTTTTCCATTCTTTTTAAGAATG